TGGCACCTTCCTCGCTAACACAAGGCTGCATTAGCTGAAATCCAGCACTACCTCTGCACGTGGAAGAGCCTGCACCACCAGCACAATTGTTCATTGCTCCTCATTGTTTCAGACAGCTCAATTGAAAGAGCTTAAATTGCTGGTCTGAAGAATACCTTCACAATATTGCTTTAAATACATACTGCAATGCTTCCCCACTGATGGGGTAATAACCACAGTGAGACAGTTACAAACATCTGGATTCATGGGTCCATAACTAAACCAGTAATAGCATTCGTCTGCCAGGGTTTTGCAGGCATTTTTCTTTGTGTCAAACTCCAGACCGTGGGGTTGGGCTGGCAACACTATGCAGCGTAGAATTAGCCCAAGATGTGGCAGTAATGAAAGGGACAAATGCAGTCCTCGGGAAGCAGAAGAATCTTGTATTAAACCAAACCCCTACACGTCTTGCTCCCATTGTGCTCAGTACACATACTTTGGAGTGTTACTCTAAAATAAGCAATTTTAAAATGAACTACTCAAAAATTATCAACCTACTTGCAAGCCTAGGAGAGGCTACAAACAGCAAAATCATCAACCTTTTGTAGTATTGCTCAAGAAATCACGTTAGTATATTATTAGCATACAAGGCCTGAAAATAAATAGTAATTGAGATAGTAATCCCTATTAAGGAAAGTCTTTTCAACCGACCTATCAGGTCAGGCACCCACTAGCTAGAGGATGAGACAGAGCAGGGAGCCTTTGGGATGATCCAAGCAGCTCTCCCTTGGTAAGAATTCCCATTTCCCAGAAGCTGTGAAGGAGGAAAGTTGTCTCTCTGACCAGTGCTCTAAGGCATGTGTTCTGTCTGGCCTTTCTTCTTCTTTTTTTTTTTTTTTTTTTTTTGTTAACCACTTGCTTTCGGATGTCTGATCTTTAATTTAACAAAGAAAGGAGATTAAAGCATTAAAGCCAACTGACAGAACAGACTATAAAATGCTTAAATTCTCCCACTTGCATGGGAAAGATGCCCTATCTTAACTCACTTCTTTTTAAACCACATGAATTAAGCTCTGAGTGGATACACCGATTTTGGTGTTTGCTTTCATTTCCCACAAAGTTTAAACCAAACTGGATTTGTTGTAAAATGGGTTGTAAACTATAAACTAAGCTGGCATGGGTGTTACTAAATTTACTTAATACTGGGCTGAACTTCAAAAACTTTCCCAGGAAGACGAACAATGATTAATTTTGGAATGGAAATGAGGAGGAGTGAGGAAAGAAGACAGGGAGTACATGTTTTTGCTATTGTGGATCAGCAGGGCAGCTAGGAACAGCTAAAGGAAGCTGCTATAAATCACGGTACCCCTGGGAACGGCCTCATTTGTGCCAGCCCTAAAATCCAGGAAATACAATAAGCATCAGAGCCGGCTGTGCCCTGCTCCACCTGAGCTGCAGCCTCCAAGTTGGGCAGGTCAGAACAGCAACCTCAGGTATAACCTGAACTACAGAGCCGTGACCTCCGATCTAAACAGTTTTACGCCATGAACTGAAAACAGTTATTCCAGGTATGTCAAACCTATTTAAGAGCATCTCTGCAGCCCAGATTTACCACGCATTACGTGCAAGATCTTTGCAGCGTTTTCCTGAGAACGTATAATGGTGGGGTTTGGCACGCTTCCACACCTTGAAGTACGTATAAGCGCTTGGCCATGGTTTGAAATTGAGCTGCCTAGGAGCAATAGGGCCAAGACCTTTTTAGCTTTGCTTTATGCTATTAAAAGCACAAAAGAAATTAAATACAGCACACTGCACCAAGTAGCACAGCTTTGAGTTAAGCCAGCAAAAGCAAGAAAAACCAGGATCAGATACCTGTGTCCTAAGTTTACCTATCTGGCCTAGCGCTATGGTGCACGTTGGACAGTAACCGACTCATTTCAAGCTCTTCTGTTGGACAGGAGAAAACATGAGGAGAAAACAGTACTTAACTTCCCTCCAACATCTTCAGTGGCTTAAGACCAAATCTAATTTTATTGTTTTCATTGTTCTATCCTTCTTGGAAATCACATCAAAATCACAGGAATTTAGAGTATTACTGTATGTTAAAGAGTAAAGCTATCAGCATAAAGATATTAAGTTTTATACTTGGTACCCCCAAGATGCAGTTTGTATTCACTGCTCACGAACATGACAACGTGATGCATGACAACACGATTTTTCTAACAGTTCATTGTCCAATTAACGGAATCAGAAATCAATCTCTACTGTTGAGACAAGCAAGCAAAAGACTGCTATTTAGACATATTTACTGTGCCTGTCATTCTGCTATCCCAGTGCCTAAAATAGAAGTTAATGTGCAGCCCAGGCCTGCTTAGCACACCCAGGAACGGGGCTCTCTTGGGGCTCTGGCATTTTTATAAAACAGATGTTATAGCAATAGATGTGACTGTGGGAAATTTAACTGCTGAGGAAACCTACACCTCTTTTGCACAAGAATCACAGTGCAACCAGTCAATGTCACTTTAAAGTAGCTAAATCAGCCTCAGATCACTCCGATGGAGCGCCTCCACGTGCAGTCACACTAGCAGGTGAGAAGCGGCAGCAGCCATCAGTGTTTAACACGATATGGGAGAGTTCAACATACTCTTCAGTATTTGTACTGTGTCCTGTTAAAGTAACATTTAATGTTTTATATGTGCCGTTATCATATTTAAAAAATTGCTAATTTTTTATCACTTATGTAACTGAGTAACCAGAAGGACTATCAATGTCCAAGAGCATCGGTTGGCAGTTGTACTCTTGTGAAGCCTGCAACATGTGGACTGCAAATGATAAGGGTGTGCTCTAGAACTGGAGGAGAAACAACTTTGCATGAAGAAATCTCTTTGGGAGAACCTCTGATACAAGGTTTTTATTTTTAAAGCACATGTGAATATGTCCAAGTTATACAGGCTTTTAAATTTTTTTTTAAAAATTCTTTTTCTTTTACAAGAAACGTAGTAAGTAGCTTGTTGCATGACGAGCAACGAAAAGGTGTCATATGCCTGCTGTGTCAGTCTGTTGCCTAATCTGTGCTACTACACCCTAGAAAAAAGCGTGTTACAAGCTTCAACTGCTCTGCACATAACACACAGCTGCATTTACCCCCTGATACCAGAAAGGCTCCTTCTAACAAGTCAATTCCAATGTAATGGTAATCCTTCGGGCACTGAAACTCTGTTCAAACTGTTCATCCTGAAAACCCAGAATTTCTGTTACTGAAGCCAATATCTCTTGTAAATATTTTTTATTTTGCAAAAGGTAAAAACACACTCATCGTACAGTTGCTATTGAGTAAAAGGGTTAAATTCCTCTTAAAAAATACTTATGGGAACAGAAGCACTGACTTCCCCACTGCCAAAAAAATAATCTTTTCCCCTACGTTCTGTAAGAGAGAAACTTGAATAGTTTTAGACACTTTGGCGGGGGTTCATCATTTTCAGCAGCACTCCTGGGCATCTGGTAGTACCAGCTCACAAGAAAAACTCTCTGCAATACTCTTGTGCTAATATGAGAGGAACATGCTTTCCCAAGGAGCTAAATATCAGATGGTATTGGAGAGCGTGCAGGGGGAGGCTTCTCTTTCTAAAAGCCAAGCTGTAACTTGCTGTACCCGAAACTGCTAGAATTATCTTTTTAGCAACTATAAGCAAAGTGTTGGCGTTCCATTTAATTTAAATACTTTCTCCTCTACCATGCCCCTCTTTGAGGGTCCAAGTATTACATGCATGCCCAACACAGAACTAGATCCCAGTAATTTATTAAAAGTTATTTAAAACAGTTTTTTAAAAACATCCCCCCCCCCCCCAAAAAACCCCGCAAACCCAACAGACACTTGCTCTCTCAACAGTGCTTGCCTCTATTGAAGAGGGAGAGCCACTGACCCTGCATGCAAATACATGAGACAGCCATAGGCAATCTACAGCACAGTCCCCAGGGTAAGACACCTTCACCACAAATCCAATAAAACACAGCTCTGGTTAGTCCTTGCTCTTATGGACCAGCCAGAGAGGAGAACAACTCCCATTTTACTGAATTCGCAAGACCTGCAGCAAATCTTTCCAACTATTCAAAAAGCCAAACAATTCCAACGTAAAATCAGAAAGCACTTCCAGTATTTTTTTAAACGTGTACAAGGCTCGCTGTTACACATGAGCTATTAATCTGAAGATACCTTGCAGTCGGAAATCTTACTGAGATGCATCAAATGAAAACACCATTATTTAAATGTAGCTTTACTGCAAATCTGAACACTGGATGCTAACAGCTAATGAGGATTTTTATGCATCCTTTAAACAAAAGTAAAATATGCAAAAGATTTAAAGAAATTAGCTAGCTATGCTACTATTTAACTTTCCTACAGATCAAGTGCTCCAGTTACTGTCACTTTATATAAGACTAAATCGCTCAGTCTTCCCGGCTTACAATTTCATTTTCTAAAACCTAACAGAAGTGTCTCCCAAGTTGGGAACTTCCTTAAAAATATTCTCTGTCAAGAGACTACAACTTTGACCAACAGACGCATAAATTTAAAGGCAATACTTCAGCTTATCTAACTGTTAGGCAACATACTAAGAGAAAGCATATGAAAATCGCATCTGGTTCTTTACCTTTACTTCAGAATGAAGTGATAACTCTATAAACCTGGCACTCAGAAAGCCAGTTCAAACTACATGCAGACATTAAGTTGAAAGCTTCAGTGTATTTTGAAGTTCATATAATTAATGTTTCACGAAGGCAGTGAGCAGCTATGAAAAACAAACCGAATACACTTTACTATGTACATCAATCACTAATGACTACGCCTCCAACATGCAGACAAAATAGCAAACTTCAATATCAAACGTTCCCTGTGCTTGTTCAATCTGCTGTACGCAATTTTTGTCTAGCAGTCACCAGCCATAAACACTAAGTTTCCCATTTGTTAGCCTGAGCACATTAATCTCCTACCACCGTCCACAATTTAAGAAGCCGTTACATACCTGCAGTTAGGAGGAGGATCAAGGGTTATTTCAGCTAGCTCCTTCTGGATTCTGTTGGTGAAATGAGAACAGACACAAAGCATTTGAGATAGTCTATAGAATAAATCAGGGAATTACACTGCCCTCTACCACCATGCAGTTAAATGCAAGATTGGCTTTGCCTTCAGTAATGCTAACATGGCTGCTTCCTCTTTGTTCTCAGAGGCATAACCCAAATCCCACAGCTGAGAAACTTTGCAGCTTTTTTCCTGCTCCGTGCTGTATGTAAACAGAACGCTTACAACTGAGTTGGGTAGAAATTTCCCACAAGTATTCAGAAAAGTAACTCTTCTTCACATCCGAGCACTTTTTACCAGGGAGATTTTCTTTTCAAGCTAATATGCAAATGAGGCGGGGGGGGGGGGGGTTGCACAGGCAGATTTGACAATGACTTTAAACCAGCGCTACAGACCTGTGACTGAGGCTCAAGAAGTGAACTGCGCTGGCAGCAGACACGCTCTTTTCACAATATTTTACCTACTACTTTGCAGTGTGTTTAAAAAGTGGATTTGCAGATCTGCCAGGCTGTCTCTGTTACTAGAATAATGTCTCTGGATCAACTTTGCTTCTCTCCACACCTTCTGCTGCCTTTCCTCCCCCAACCTTATACAGTAGCTGTATTTACATGATAAAAAGTGGTATAATAACTCGAAATATTCTGTGCTTAGCTTTACTCTATTACAGCCACTCCCAAGGTGTGAAGATCCAGCAGAGGAATACCGAAAACTTTTTGTCAATTTAATAGTTTATTCAGATACCTAAGAGGCGTATTTTCAAAAGGCGCACAGTAAATTCCTCTCAAAAATACCAAATAAGACTTCTCTTCAGAAGAGGATCCATACGAGCAAGACCATGAATTTCACGTGAATACCAAGTGTTAAAACATGAGCTAACAGAAACTGCTCCGCACGTCCTTGCACTAGTACCACTAAGTTCAGTCAGACTACCAAACTATTTGAGATGTCCGGAATTAAACTTGCAACAATTAAGTAAAATAAAGGCAAGAGGGGAAAACTCAGTCTCGAAAGCCTGCATCTCAGGCTTTTCAAAAAAGATAAGTAATAACAAATTACAAAGCCTACATAGTAGTTCCAGAACTTTTCTTTCTTCAGCCAATCCTATTTCAAAGGGTTTAACAACCTCAAAAGTCATCAAAGCCACCCAGTCATACTCTGCACCAATTTTAACACATTTCAAAAAGTATTTATTGAATTCAAGTCAAATACAAAATTACTAAAAGTTAGAACTGCAGTATTCACGCTGAATAAGCCAAGCTTGAAGCTACTACAGCTACTCTACAGCTTTTCTTGCTACAGGATATTTGCAAATGTTTGTAAAGAAAAGCACCTCCAGGGAAAGGACTGGAAAGTTACGTTTCATCTCCAAAGACCACTGGAATCAAGGGATTTAAAGTTTGCTTATTTCACACAGCTGAACTTACAGAGAATTATGAGAATGCATGTCTTCAGGGCTGGACTGCCAGTAACTTTACATGCAAATAAAAATGCAACAGATATAACTACACAGGGTTTCTGAAGATTTTGACATTTAAAGGTATAGGCTACCTGTAGAACCCCATGGTTTCAATCTGCAGATCCTAAGGGAGAAAACACACCTAGGTTTCTCCCGGAAGAATTGCAGAATGAACCCATAACTTCAAGGTGTGTTAAGGCTCTCCCGTGCATCGACATGAAAAGCTAGTCATAAGGCCCACAGAAGCTGCTGGGGTTTTGTGACTTCTCTAATTAAAGAGCATTGCTTGTCATCAGTCTGCAGACCATAATAAAATACACCAGGAGGACTCCACCCTATACCAATCAGGCATGGAAACCCAACTCTGAAAAAGATAGCCGAAGCTGACGCTCGCACACGCATTTTCGCAACCACTAAACATATTCAGGTGCCCCCCCCAGCCGTCCTGTAGGTTACCAAGTTCTCAAACAACTCTTCAGAAGACATATGACAAATCTGTGTAATTACGACCCCAGTAAGAAGACCTGGATTAATGAAGATACTGCCTTGGCAGGCTCCGGTACTACAAAAGTTGGTGCTTCACCCTTTTCCACACCGCTTTACGAGAAGAACCCCTCTGCCTTGAAAAGCGCAATGCAAGTACTGCGACTCAAAAGACCGTGCAAAAATACTACAGAATGTTTCACTGCCCCCTTTACCTTTTAGCACTAGTAGATAGCTTAGCAGTAGTTTTGCTGGATAGTTTGGTGTTCTTCTTCTGCTGGGTGGCAGAGGGTTTTCGTTCTTCTTGCTCTTCGGGTTCAGGTGCAGGTGGATCCCTCTGATCGGCATCTGAACTACCACTGCTGGTACTCGGACTTTCATCGTCTGACCTCTGCCTATCACTGGACATCGTGGGGAACTTTTTTGGGGAAGGAGGAGAAAAGAGGCAGAGTTAGTACAGCAGGCAGGACTCTCTCTTGCCATTCCTCAAGTTCCAGAGAACGCTTGAATCGGTGACAACTCCGTTTCACTGAGAAATTAACCAAAATATACTTCTTTGTCTTGTCCCCAAGGGCTGCAGTTTGACAGCTTACAAAGCAATATTTACGCTTCTGAAAATACAGATATTTCCAATTTTTAAACCCACTCGCATTTTTTTCATACTTTAAACAATATGCCAATTGTCGACTTTGTTCTAAGGCATGAGACAGATTTAGCAGGGTACTTAGGCAATGAACATTAATAACTTATGACACATTGTAAATAACAGACCTCACTGAAAATGTTTTTTAAAAAGTCACTAATGCCCTGTAAATATTTACACTGGAGCAGAGCATTTTATTGGGTCCAAACGCCAGATCCCCCCCGCTCCCCCTCTCTCCGAGAAAATAGATTGCCAATAACACTTGGGTTGATTTCAGATGGAAATGTACACTTGCTCTGTGCATTTAAAGGGCTGGGCTGGGGCCGCGGAGG